CCCCGAGCAGCCGGGGGGGCTGGCAGGGCTCAGCAGCCCGCGGGGGGGTGTAGCCCCTCACCATCTCGAACACGGCGTACTCGGCGCTGTAGCTCTCGCCCGGCACGACGCCCGCGCCGCCCACCAGCCCGGCTGCCAGGTTGTCAATGATGTTCCCATACAGGTTGGGCATCACCAGGACATCAAACTGGTAGGGGTTCTGCACCAGCTGCAGGGGCACACACAGGATCATGGGGTTACTTTGGCTGGAAAAGACCTTTAGAATCCTGCAGCCCACCCGTTCCCCCAGCCCTGCCCAGGCCCCACTGCCCCACGTCCCTCAGCACCATCTCCAGGGCTTGGAAACCCCTCCAGGGATGGGGACTCCCCCCCTGCCCTGGGCAGCCTGGGCCAGGCCCTGACAACCCTTGCCAGGCAGGAATTGTTCCCCAGATCCAACCTCCACCTCCCCTGGCACAACTCGAGGCCGTTCCCTCTTGTCCCATCCCTTGTTCCTGGGGAGTAAAGAATTCCCTCCTAATATCTACTCTAAATCTCCCCTCTCCAAGTTCTAAACCCCTGCCCCACGTCTGCTCACCCTGTGCCCATGCAAAAAGTCCTGTCCCAGCTTTCCTGTAGCCCTGTCAGGTATTGGAAAGTTGCTATAAGGTCACCTTGAAGCTTCTCTTCTCCCGGCTGAACAACCCCAACTTCCTCAGCCTGTCCTCCCAGGGGAGGTGCTTGGATCATCTCCGTGGCCTCCTCCAGACTCGCTCCATGTCCTCTGTCGGGGGCTCCAGGACTGGACACAGTGCTTCAGGTGGGGTCTCAGCAGAACAGAGCAGCCCATGTTGAGCTCCTCCACCATCACCTTCAAGTCCTTCTCCTCTGGGCTGTCTTCAGTCCTTCCTCCTCCCAACCTGTATCTGTGCCTGGGATTCCCTTGACCCAGGTGCAGGGCTTGGTCTGAACTTGATGCAGTTTGCACAAGCCAATTTCTCCAGCCTGTCCAGGCCCCTCTGGATGGATCAGCCCCTTCCCTGCAGCGTGGTGACCTCACCAGTTTGGTGTCATCAGCAAATTTGCTGAGTGTGCATCAATCCCACTGTCCATGTTGGAGTCAAAGATGATCAAGAACACTGGTCCCAGTATGGACCCTTGGGGAACAGCACTTGCCACTGGTGTCCATTTGGACATCCAGCCATTGACCAACTGTTTGGGTCTGACCAGTTCCTTACCCAACGAGTGGTTCATCCATCAAAACCCTAACGTTCCAGGTTTGAGACCAGGATGTCATGTGGGACAGGTCCAGGTAGATGCCTGTTGCTCTCTCCTTGTCCACCAAGGCTGTGACCCCATCAGAAAAGGCCACCAAGTTAGGCAGGCAGGACTTGCCCTCAGTGAAGCCATGTTGGCTGTCACCAACCACCCCTTGCCTTAGCAGGATCTTCAGGAGGATCTGCTCCAAGATCTTGTCAGGCACAGAGGTGAGACTGGCCTGGAATTCTCCAGGTCTTCTTTCTTTCCTCTGTTGAAGATGGGGGTGATGCTCCCCTTTTCCAGTCAGCAG